AGTTATTTTTAGGAAAAACTTTTGCTTTTTTTAAGCCATGGAGGCCGTGTTTATCCCAGCTCAGATTTTCAAAATGAATTAGAATTCAAACGAACAAAAGCGTAGGGAGTTTTGAAATTTTGTGTATGCATGTATGTGTATGTGTTTTTATATGGTGCATACATGTCATGTATGTGGGTGCATGTGTGTACGTGTGGATAATTGTTGTATGTGTGTGTGTGTGTGTGCATTTGCAAATAAGTGTACATAAATTATGTGTTATATGTGCATATATGTGTGTGCAAGTATTAATATGCATGTGTGTTCCTGGGTGTGTGTGTATGGATGTATGCGTGTGTATGTGTTATATAAGTACTTTTTTTGTATGTGTGTGCAAGTATTAATGTGCATTTGTATTCCTGGGTGTGTGTATGGATGTATGTGTATGTGTTATATATGTACATATGTTGTATGTGTATGTGTGCATGTATAAATAAGTGTACATAAATTATGTGTATATGTGTGTGTGTGTATATGTGCATATGTGTGTGTGTGTGTGTGTGTGTGTGTGTGTAAGTATTAATGTGCGTGTGCGTTTCTGGATGTGTGTGTGTCTGTGTGTGTATTATATATGTACATATGTTGTATGTGTTTGTGTGTGTGTGCATTTATTATCTGTTGAGATTCACTATTTATTATTATATTGGGCTGCCAGTTTAATACCCAAAATTTTGATGTTTGTTTCTCCTCTCTCTCTGTTACGCGGCCTCTTCCCAGTGCTAGTGGCCAGCAGTCAAAAGCTGTTGTTGGGTGAGGGAAGAGGGATGAGGATGATTGAGGGAAGTGGTGGTTGGTTGGGAAGCGGTATCTCTCTCTCTCACCTCACAATTGACAGATTGAGGCGCTTGTAATACAATCTTTTTGATGATGAACAACAGCAACACATTGGGCGCAGAACAATTTCGGGTTGCTGCTTCTGCTGCTGCTGTTGCTGGTGGGTGCGAAAGGGGCAATCAATGATGGGTGTTTGCCTGGATGAATGGATGGATGAGATAATTCGTTGCTGCTCTCTGGGCATCGCTCCCTCTGTCCTCATCCCGTACCTCACCTCCTCCTCATGCTGCAGCTCCTCAATTGCTGAGGGACACTCGTCGTCACCAGCCATCACCGGTGGTCGATCCGTTCGTTGCGCCGCTCTCATTTGTTGATGTTTCGCTGAATGCGAGCAAGAAGTGATGGAGCGAGGCCCAGCTGCAGCAACGGCCACAACCTTAAGCGAAATCCAAACAACGTGAGCGGCTATCATCCGAACACATCCATCCATCCATTAGCTTCATCCATTAACACTACTGGGCCTGGCAGCCGAGAGAATGCTGCGGATTGCTCTCGTGCCGCCACGATATGTATCCTGGGCCATAGCCAGTGAAATACGAGCCACTTTGAGCCCCCCTCATATTGGCATCCTCTATTCAGGAGGAGCAGGAATGTGTAGAATAGGATTAAGCAAAATTGGAAACAAATGAGTGACAGGTTATTGCCTTTGCATGTTAAGGAGTTGACAA